AGAGCAATTAGGCAAAGAAGAAGGAATAAAAGACATCACAATAGGTAAAGAACTGTCAGAAATATCCCCTATTTGCATACACATGATCCTATACTAAAAGACCAAAGAAACCTACTCAGGAAGCTCTAGACATCAACAATTAGTATACAGTAGCAGGATAAAATCAACATAGATAAAATTCATTACATTCATACATTAACAATGATCAAACAGAAAAAGAATTAGAAGAAATCAATTCCATTTACAATAGCCTCAAAAAAAAATTATCAAATACTAGGTGTAAACCTAAAAAAAATGTGAAGACCCTAAGGAAACTATGCACTTCTGAAGAAAGAGATGAGGAAGACTATAGAATGAAGAGTCTCCATGCGTCAGTTTGGTAGATATCAACAGAGTAAAATGTGATACTCCCCAAAGTAATGATACATGTTTAATGCAATTCCCCATCAAAAATTTTCCATACATAGTTAAAGAAGATTGAAAATTGTTAGAATTTATTGGAACACAAGAGGAGAATAGCCAGGCAATACTAGTCAAAAGAACATTGCAGGAGGGATCACATTACATGACTTCAAGCCAAACTATAGACAAAGCAATCAACAATAAAAACAGCATGGTACTGGAAAACAGGACCTGAAGACCAGTGGAACGGAATAGAGGAATCTCAGATATAGCACACAGACTATAAGCAAACTTTAGCTTTGACAAGGAGCTAAAATACGATGGGAAATACACCTATTCAACAAAGAACTGCTGGGAAATGGTTAGCAGTCTGCAAAAAGACTGAAACTAATCATGTATATAACCCTATACCAAGATTAACTCAAATGGATCAACGGATCTTAATATAACCCCAACTAAGTTGTATCAAGAAACGAGAGGAAAAATACTCTGGAGTTAAGTAGGTAATTAGGTAGAACTTTCCAGGAACCCCACGCACAGACTAAGAGAAGCATAGATTAAGGGGACCTCATAAACTAAAAGAGCATTTCATGCAAAAGAAATGGTCCTAAATGAAAGGAGCACACAAGAAGGGGAGAAATATGCCAATTTAGACATCAGCAAGGACTATAAAGATATACAGGGAACTAAAAACTAATTCCCAAACTAAGAACCAATAAAGAAATGGGCAATGTGACTGAAAGAATTTCAAAAGAAGAAATTCAATGGTCAGAAAACATGAATACAATTCTCAACTCTAGCAATAAGGAAATGCAAATTAAAACCACACTAAGATTTCACCTCACCCCTGTTAGAATAGCCATCATCAGCAACCACCAAGGTGTTGGCTGAGGGATGCGGGAAAAGGAACCTCTACACTGTTGGTGGGAATGTAGACTAGTACAACCACTCTGGAAAAAAATTTGGAGGCTACTTAAAAAGCTGGACATCGATCTACCATTTATCCAGCAATTACCTCTTGGGGAATACCCAAGACTGTTACTCCAGAGGCACCTGCACATCCATGTTTATTGCGGCAGTATTGCACAATAGTCCAAGTTATGGAAAAGCCAAGATGCCCCCAGACTGACAAATGGATTAAGAAAATGTGGTACTATAAAATGGAATTTTATGCAGCCATGAAGAAGAAGAAATGTTATCATTCGCTGGTAAATGGATGGAATTGGAGAACATCATTCTGAAGTGAGGTTAGCCTGGCCCAAAAGACCAAAAATCGTATGTGTCTACTCAGATGTGGACAGATCAAGGGCAAAAAACAACAAGGGGATTGGACTATGAGCACATGATAAAAGCGAGAGCACACAAGGGAAGGTGAGGATAGGTAAGACACCTAAAAAAACTAGCTAGCATGTGTTGCCCTAACGCAGAGAAACTAAACAGATACTTTAAAAGCAATGAGGCAATAGGAAAGGGACAGGTACTAGAGAAAAGGTTATAGATCAAAAAGAATTAACCTAGAAGGTAACACCACGCACAGGAAATAATGTGAGTCAATGCCCTGTATAGCTATCCTTATTCAACCAGCAAACCCCTTTCGTCTATTATAACTCTCTCTACAACAAAATTAGAGATAAGGGAAAATAGTTTCTGCTGGGTATTGAGGGGGAGCAGGAGGGGTGGAGTGGTGTAAGGGAGGGGGTGGGGCAGGGGGATGAACCAAGCCTTGTATGCACATATGAGTAATAAAAGAAAAATGAAAAAAAAATAAATAAATAAAATAAAAAATGCTTGAAGACTGATCAAAATGAGCCCCCTTCATCTGGTGTCCCAAAAACATATGTGTTCTAGAACACTTGCTCTGAACATAGCAGAAAAGTTGGAGAGGGTTAATGGTGTGGACAGAAGTTGCCCTTGGATAATTGGTTTGACCGGAGGATATAATTGACAGTTTTTCAGAACAGTTTTCCTTTATTTGTAAATTTTGGGTTTTTTTGTTTTCCTTCCAGCAGTTTCTCTTACAGTCTTGTTTTTCTGTTGGGTTAATTTATGTTCAACTTACCAGTAACCTATAAACACTTTCATGAAACAACCTGCTCCACAGAGCTTAACCTTTTCAATTTCACCCCTTTTGCTTAATTTCAATTTATAATCAAGTTCTATAAATAATCTTTATCTAGTACATGAGTTTATTATACTCAGTCTGATGGGTGAATATCATACTCCTTACTTTCCAAACAATTTAAATAGACCACCTTGAAACTTAGATGAATTTTTCAGTTCTATAGAAAATGAATTTTTTGAAATAAAAAGTAATAGTCTAAGCTAGGTTCCAGTGGCTCACACCTGGAATCCTAGCTACTTGGAAGGCTGAGATTGGGAGAGAGCATGTTTTGAGACCAGTCCCAGGAAATAGTTCACAATACCCCACCGCCAAAATATCCAGACCAAAATGGACTGGAGTTGTGGCTCGGACAGTAGAGTACCTGCTTTGCAACATGAAGCCCTAAGTTCAAACTCCAGTCCTACCAATAATAATAATATAATAATAATAATAATGTCTCTTAGCTGGATTGTCTTTTAGAGGAAATAAAACTTTGCATGGTGTTAGAACTAGATGTGTTTTCTTTGTCCTTGCTTTTGTGCCTTTGTTACTTGAAAAATGATACATAGCCTGAAACTTGTAGACACAAGTGATCTAATTTTTCACATAGTAAATGGCTTAATCTGAGAGTTTCAGAACAGAAGTCTCATGAATAAGGAAGAAGCCAATCCCTCCAAGGGTTTCTTCTGGTTGATTATTGTGTACAGCACAAGCTGCTGTGTCTCAATTAGAGCTGCAATGCCAAGGGCAAGCATGGTTTGGTGTCATTCATGGTGTGTCCCTGTGGATTTGAACTTTTCTTGGTTACAAACTGCTTTAAGAACAGGAGAGCCAGTTGTTGTGGTCCATGCCAGTAAACAAGGCAAAAAAGATTAGGCAGGAGAATCATGAGCTTGAGACTAGACTACACTTTTGAGCTACACTTTTGAGCTGGGGGCATGGCTCAAAAAAAGCACCTGCCTAAGCAAGCATGAGCTGAATTCAAATCCCAGTACCACCAAAAACAAACAAACAAAAAAGAATCGAGAGCAAGTTATGGACTAGCTCCTCAAAAACTACTCATTTTCTCCTTTCCAATAAAGCATGGCATTGACAGTCCATGTGAAGTCCCTGAATTCCCTCCATCAAGTCTCTTTTGCTCCCGCTGTCTACAGTTCCCATTGTGTAGGGTCTACTGAACAGTGGAAGACTTCCTCTCACTTGGCTTGACCTCTTGCTATGTTTTAGGTATGGAATGTCCCCAAGATTCTTGTGCTGGTGTGGTGATATGAAACCCTTAAATAAATGAGGCCTAGTGGATGGTGATTAGGTTATTGGGGACTCTGCCCCATAGAAAAGATTGATGCTGTTATAAAAAGAACAAGAGAAAGTTGTTATAAAAAGAACAAGAGTGGCCTCTCCTCTGCTCTCTGGTGCCCTGTCTTGCTAGGTGATCTCTCACATATGCTCCCACAATGATAGTATCTGACATGTTGTGGCTAAACAGATGAGTCTACCTGATTTTGGATTTTCAACCTCCAAAATTGTGAGCTAAATAAACCTTTTTTCTTTACAAAGTAGCTAGCTTCAGGTATTTTGGATACATGAATGGATATATAAAATGTAGTATATCCATACAATAGAATATTAGTAGGAAATAAAAAGAAATGAAGTACTGATATATGCTACAACTTGGATGGACCCTAAAAACATGGTAAATGCAAGAAGCCAGTCACAAGAGGTCACATATTCTATGGTCCCAGTTACATGAATCATCCAGAATTGGTGAATCCATGGAGACAGACAGCAGATTTGTGGTTGCTAAGGGATCAGAGGAAGAGGGGAGTGACTGTTGAAGGTATAGGGTTCTTATTGGAGTGGTAAAAGATGTTCTAAAATTGATTCTGGGGAGTAATGCTTGTGCATCTCTGTGAATATATTAAAAGCTATTGGACTATATACTTTAAATGGGGAACCATATGGGATGTGAATTATATCTCAATAAAGCTCCTATCAAAAAAAAAAAAAAAAAGAAAAAAAAAAGGAGAGGCTCCAGGTTGTTGTGTTCAAATTACTGTGTAAGTTCTGTTGTCCTGAGACAGGATTTGAGTGCAACTACTGCATTTGGAAAGGTATCCCCAAAGTACACTGAGGAAGTAGGGAAGTGAGATTAGAGAAAGAAAACCCATAGTGGGTATGTAAGTGAGTGAGTTACTGTGTGGGCAGCCTTGGCTTAGGCCTGCTGAGGCCCCTCAGAAAGGACACTAGACCTCAGAACTGTCCCCCCCAAAAATGGGAAAGTTGGCTGTTTCTGTGGGAGTGGCCTGCCTTGTACATCCAGCCTGCCCCATATACTCAGTACCTTTCATTCCTCCTGGATGATTGAAACAGCCCAGTTTGTGAACAGTCAGGGAAATACAGGGTTAAAGAAATTCCCAACTGTGTTACACTGAACTTAAGATGTCATGAGAAAATTTAAGGATTTGTTCAACGAAGAAAATATCTCTGGATTTTTCAGGCTGTGACTCTGCAATTAACCTGACATTTCCCAAATCCAAAATTGCTGTGGACGAACTTTTTGCTTCTCTTCGGGATATTGCTGGAGCAAGGAATCTCATGAAACAGTTCAAGTCTGTGTATGTTCCTGGAACTCACACCCACCAGGCAAGTGCATGGGTTCTAAAGTAACTGTCGTAACTGTTAAGTCTATTGTGTTTTCAGGATTCAGAAACTATAGCAACAAGGAAAAGTTCCTTTAACCTTTGTATGATGGGGCGAGGTGGGGGGCGGAGGGATGGTTCATTTTACATGGCCTCCAAGTTCCCTTTTAGTTGAGAGTTTGGGATTCCACTGTATCTGAGGTCTCCTAATTCCTTTGAACTCCAGGCTTGAAGCAGCAGGATGAGCACTAGATTGGTGCCACCCATGCTTTGTAACTGTGAGTCTATCACAGATTTATTCTATAGTTGTAGATAAGGTCCTTCCCTTCTTAGGGACACAATTGCTATAGTACCAAATGAAGTATTGAGTTTAGATGATTCCAGAGCTAAACAATCCATAAACATTTTGAAATATCAGAATAATAAAAGAACCTAATAATACTATTGCAAGAAAAAGAGAAATTTGTGATAGGGGGAAAATTATTATTAAAATGCCCCTGTGGTTTTCCAAGTAGAGTAGGAAAACCGAAGAAGAATATTTTGATGACCATTGATAGGAAGCCAGTGTGAGAACCCAATATTCTGCGAAACTTGAAGGGGGCAAATGCATAGAAAGCTCAAAAGGAAGCTTAGGGAATGAGGAAAGGCTGGGGCCATGGAGGCTAGGGAGTCTGTTGCACAAGGTAGGAGAAACGACAAAGTTTCCTGGTGGCCAAAGATGCACTTCCAGGGAAGAGCAGATGTTTCTTATGGAAAAGTTCACTAAGTTTGACAATGGGAATCCTCTGCTCCATCTCCCCCATGAAACCTCTGATAAAATCTACTCATACATTAGGCCTTCTGGGAAGGTTGAATGTGCTACTAGTGGGGACCTCCACATAGTGAGGAGTTCTGCTTCAGGGTGCTGACTCATTAAGTTTATGTAGACAAACTAATGTTCCCCATGACAACCCAACAAAACCCTATTCTTCCTCCTACATATTGTATAGCAGCTGATTCTTGAAGAACATTTCTATACTTCACTTTTCTTTTGATTCCTATAACAAGTAAGCCAGAGAGGTATCATTCTGGGATCCAGGAAGGCCAGATGACTTGACACAGTGGTCTTTGCAGCCAACACAAAATCTCTTCCTCCACTGTAGCATGTCTCTCATGAAGGTTCTAGAAGTATTTATTGACAGTGCTGACGGTCATCCAAAACCACCAAGATACTAAAGACCATAATACTGGCATCAATAGAAACATCGATGTTTTCCATCCTCTTTTCAAAGATCTGAGAAAACAACCACCAAAAATACATTAAAAATCACTTGGATCACTAACTACATGTAGTTTCATCATTTTTTTTTAGAGTCAACCAACTGTGGTATGAACTAGTTCCAAGACATGATGGAACTGGAGGTATATGATGAAATCTAGACCAAAGAATGTCAAGAAGCACACAGCTACACTAGTTGGCAAAGACAAAATAAAGCATGAAATTAATGGGGTCTGTTCCATTTTATGAACATCATGGTGACTGATTTGTTGAACTTCACATAAACATGCATTAGCTGTAAAACTTGGGCACAATAAGGACAGCGATGAACAGCCAAGACTTTATCAGCCTGCTACCAATGCTGTCATGTCTCCAGGCCTCAGAACACTGTCCTGTGGTCATTACTTTTGGAAAATGACATTTCCCATGTTGCATATATCCCCCCTTACAGGGAGTCAGCAACATCAGCATGCTTGCCCAAAACCCTAACTCTTCAAAACCGTTAAGTGAGGGAAAGTGGGGAGGTCTGAGGTAATGTATGTATGCTGCAGGGATTAATTTAATAATAATCTAAATGTATAGCTCACTGCTGCACAATCATTAAATGAATAGAATAGACCCAAGTTCACTGGGCAGGGCTGTATTTGAATACTTGTCTCAGGGTCTGTTTCTTGAACTCCAACTACAACAGAGGTTCAGGACCCATTTGTGGGGGGACTTAAAAACCTGATAAATCATTCTGTAAAGCATTATTCTACCTTGTAAAAATATAACAAAATAAAATAAGTATATATGAGTATGTGTAATAAGTCTTTCAAATTTTAGGAAAAAATTGCAATAGATAACTTGTGGGAAGTGCTGGAGAAGCACTGACTTCTTGCTTCATATTTATATAGCTAGAGAAGATGCTTTTGATAGGATTATATATCATTTTTACTTGTTTGAGTTCTCCAGAATTACAGATGTCAGTCCTGTGAGGACAGGGATTCTGATCTGTTTCATTTACTGCCATACTGTCATACAGAGGTATCTTACACCTAATAAGTGCTTACTAAGTATTTGTTAGATGCATTTTCAATGTGATGCATATATCTTTATTACAGATCAGAAGATGTATGGGATACAAAGTGAATAAATAGGAAAGTACAGGTATAACCAGAGTCAGAGCCCAGCTAAAGACAAGACTTGGCTGGATATTATGGTTTGAATCCTATGTCCCCCCAAAGTTTGTGTGTTATAGACTTGGTCCCCAGCTGATGGTACTATTAAGAGATGGTGGAAGCTTAAGAAAGATAGGACACAGAGTAAACAAGCTCTGGGAAATGCCCGTTGAAAGTATAGTTATCTCTCTTTGCAGAATTACAGATGTCAGTCCTGTGAGGACAGGGATTCTGATCTGTTTCATTTACTGCCATACTGTCATACAGAGGTATCTTACACCTAATAAGTGCTTACTAAGTATTTGTTAGATGCATTTTCAATGTGATGCATATATCTTTATTACAGATCAGAAGATGTATGGGATACAAAGTGAATAAATAGGAAAGTACAGGTATAACCAGAGTCAGAGCCCAGCTAAAGACAAGACTTGGCTGGATATTATGGTTTGAATCCTATGTCCCCCCAAAGTTTGTGTGTTATAGACTTGGTCCCCAGCTGATGGTACTATTAAGAGATGGTGGAAGCTTTAGAAGATAGGACACAGTTAGAGTAAACAAGTCTCTGGGAACATGCCCTTGAAAGTATATTATCTCTCTTTGCTTTCTGGCTACCACCTTGCCACAGGTCCAAAAGCAGCCAGGCTAAGCAACCATGGCCAAAACTTCTGAAACTGTTAAATAAACCTTTCTTCCCTTAATTTGATTTCCCTCAGGACTTGTCACAGCATTGGAAAGCTGACTAATACACTGGGCAACTTTCTGTCCATCTCTTCTTCAAATTTGGTCCTTAGTCCCAAAGCTTCAGGAAAAATCTGTGCTTTCTACCCACTGCCATGCCACCTCTACACACGAACCTAGTTGGGATATCCCAGGCTGTCCAGGGTACCCAGGACAGCACTAGCCCTGGTCTGCCCCCAGGTTCCTGTTCCAGCTCTGCGCTGTGCTGTGCTCTGAGCTGTCTGTCATGGCTCTTGGGCCCTGCCACCCCAGGCTCCCTCCCAGTGCCCTCTCTCCAATCTATTCATGTTTCCCACTAGCACTAGAGGACACCTTGTATTCCAGGAGAATTAAGACCCTGCCTTGTTGGGGGTAGAGGTAGATTGGCACCAGGAAGCTAAAGCTCTCAGCTTGAAGAACATCCACCATGTTCTTCATGGTGAGCAGAGAGGTGGCTCTGCTCTTATTTTCCACGGGTCTATGGGGTTCAGTGTGGGATTGCCCATACTGGGTAGGTGGGGAAGGGAGGGCTAGAGTGTGGATCTTATCCAAAATGGCATGTACTGTGTTCTTAATTCTTAGAAGGAGGTCAGCATGGAGGGGAACAGAAAATCTTAGAGCTGAGCATCTGTGTTCATAGCCCAGCTGTGCTTCCTATTAACCATGTGGTCTTTGACAGGTAACCTCACCTCTCTGCCTGGTTACTCCAGTGTAAGAAGGAATAACAATAGTAGCATCTCACAAAGATGCTCTAATGATTTGGTCATTTAATACCTATCCAACTCTTGGGACAGCACTGACACATATACAGCCCTCACTAACTGAGTGTTTGAGGTAACAGCCATAGAAAAGTCAAGAGCAGAAGAGGCTCCTCTTTGTCCTCTTTTGTAGCATCCCAAGTCTTCCTTTGTCAGGATGTGGGCTACTTAGAAGAGGCAACAATTTGGGGCCAAACATCACTTTGACCTCAAAAGTTCTCTTTTGTTCCTTCTAATGTAAATAACAATAATAATAATAATAAGGCATTTTCATGGGCCCCTACAATAACATGGGCCCAAGGCACTGTACATCCTATGCCTAAACTGGCTCCATAGTCCCAGCCCCACCTGACACCAGTCTGCCCAGAACAGGAATATAGCTCACCATAAAGAGTTTTAGTGCTGGCACCAGCTTGTGTGAAAAGGCCATTTGTGTGGTGCTCCTGTTGACCTGAAGCCAAGCTCCCCAGGACCCTGTGGACAGGTCTTTATGCCCTTCAATTTCTTCTTGCATGTGTCCCCCTTGGATGGGAGGCTTGGGGCTCCTTCCTCAGTGCATGGTATTAGATGCAGTGCTGTTCCTCAGCTGCAGCGTCGGGAGGTCATTAGCAGTGTCTTGGAGCAAATAGTTCACAAGGCCTTCTGATGAAATGTTGTCTGGCTCTGCCATTATGGGTTTGGCTGCACTGGAGACAACTGCACGGATGTGCACTGTCTTGCGGGCCTCTGGCATGTTAACAGGAGCTTGTAGAGCCAGCGGTGTCTACAGAGGCTTGATTCATCTTCTGCCAGGGAAGTAGGGCTCTCGGAGCAGTCTTTAGGCCTGGCCTCTTGTCAACATGCCCCAGCTCTGACTGCCAGTTGTTCATATCCCGTTCTAATCCCTACCCCACCTCCTGATTAAATATACCTATCCTGGACTGGGAGGCCTTTTTGAAAGAACCAATATGGGACAGTACTACACTGAGGAGGGCAGTTTACTTCTAAGTCTGAAGTCTACTCCTAACTGGTGTGTAAACTCAAACGGTTTCCTTATTTTAAAAAAAAATTATTATGAATGTATATGTTATATAGTGTATATTAATTGTACAAAGGGTTTCACCACAGTATT